GATTTATTTAAAATTTATATTTTTAATTTTTAATCTCATCAAATGTATATCTTCGAATTATATTTAATATACAAATCTACACCTTATTTCAGTCAATAATTAATTTTGACATTTAAAACGACTAAATTATCTTTAAGAAAAAAGGAAAAAGAAAACTAAAACTTTTCAATATCACAAAAAATAAAATTAAAAAAAAACAATTACAATGGTATTTTGTATATTTTTTTAGAGAAAAACCAAGTCTATATTTTTTTTCTTTTCCAATCTTTTTATTCAAGTGTATTTTAGATATTTTTAGAGTTAAAATCGAAGATTGACTATGCTAAGGCATACATTTAGATATTAAATTTAATTTAAAAATATGCATTTGATGAGATAAAAAATTAAAAATGTATTTTTGAATAAACCTAAAATATAGGACATAAGAAGGTAAATATACCATAATTTTGTGTTGTTGGTCAACAAATATTCACATTAAGAATTGATGATTTTTTTGTTTATGTAATTTGCAAAACATGAGAGAGAGACTTCCCTCTTTTACAAAGAAATAAAAAATAGCGCAAACTTTCATTTTGATAAATCATAGGGGTATGTTTGTAATTATGTGCAGCTTTTAGGACCCAATAAAATTAAGTCATAACACTACCGTCGCTTTACCACCAGTAAAAAAATAAAAGGCCCTTTAAAATTCGCAAAACCCCTCTTTTGGGCGACTCTAGGGTTTTAGAATTCCGACGCAGAAATCAGAATCAGTGGGAAATGGAGAACGAAAATGGCGTCGCCGAACATGAGACGAAGAAGCACAAAGGGAAGCACGACAAGCCGAAGCCTTGGGACGAAGACCCAAACATCGATCGCTGGAAGGTCGAGAAGTTCGATCCCTCATGGAACGGGGGTGGAATGCTCGAAGTCTCTTCCTTTTCCACTCTCTTCCCCGAGTATCGAGGTACTTATCCCCAAATTCACGGTCTTTAATCGACTTGTTTGTTTCCCGAGAAAGTTTGGTTCAACAAAATCGAATTGGAAGCTTTAGCTAGGGATATAGTTAGGGGTCGTTGTTTTTTGAAGCGGGATTTGCAAACAAGACCTATTTTTGCCTTAATAAATCTGTAATTAAATTTTTATTATTTGAGGTCTTATTAATTACATTGCATTTTTCAGAAAAATATTTGCAAGAGGTTTGGCCATCGGTGAAGTCTGCTTTGAAAGAGTATGGCATTTCGTGTGAACTGAATCTGGTAAGAAAAAATTATTATTATACTTTTTTTGTGGAAGTTACTGATTTTTATGAACATGGTCCAGACTTATTAGTTGTTTTTGCATATTGGGTTTAGTGTTGATTGTTAATTCTGTTTTTGAAACGCTGGAAAGTTTGTACGTGCATTGATTTTGTGTTTTGTTTGCTTCTTGTTGGCCAGGTTGCGGGTTCCATGACAGTTTCAACTACTAGAAAGACTAGAGATCCTTATATTATTATGAAGGCTAGGGACCTTATTAAGCTTTTATCAAGAAGTGTGCCTGCTCCTCAGGTACAAATTTCGACATCTTCTTTTCTGGTTTTTTTCCCCATTTTCTTGTGTAGACTTCTGCATTTTTTACCATTGATGTTCTTTTATTTTTTTTATTCATGTGCATTACATTTTTTTCCCTATGCAGGCGATAAAAATACTGAATGATGAAATGCAATGTGACATTATCAAGATTGGGAACCTGGTCCGCAATAAGGTAGCTTACTATTATCAATAGATTTTGTATGTTAATCTTCTTAAAGAGACTTAACATATAATTTCTTTCATAATGTTTTTGGACAAAAATCATTGGATTTTCTGATGGCTGATTGCTCTCTTGATTTCGGCTCTGCATGTGGTGATTATGACCCTTTTTTGTCAAAAAATTTAATGTTAGCTTTTATTTACTGAAATTGTTTCTCATCTCTTTTTATCTTTTCTTACTTTTATGATCATTTCTTGTATCTCCAAAAGGCTAAACTCTAGGAGGTTTTGCTCTTAAGTTTTTTTTCTGCTTTAATGACCCATAGCTGATTTTAGTAAACTTGAATTCTAGGTTACCCTTGCCTACTCAAG